CCCCCCCACAACCCCCCCCCACTTCCCCCCCACACACACACGGACTAAAATTTCTCCATTTCAGTCTTGTGTTGATTCGTTGTTCTGTGTGCCATGACTGTTACTCTGCTGTTGCTAAATAAATGCCAAATCACAATAATCAAAGTAGAGAAGAGCCACCCAAGTAAAAGCCAGTTTCAAGAATTGAAACTCTTTTGGAAAGCACTCTGTTTGATAGTACTATTTATTCAGCTAGGTTCATTGTGAGTTTCCAATCTTTTCAGAATTGTCAGATGTTTTATAATCATCTTTTCAAAGAAGCTTCTTCAGAAGTTCTTCATTTTGGGGGGGGGGGACGATTTATAAGCCTTGCAATGGGGATTTGTTGCAATGTATTTGTAAATCTAGATTCAAACATCATGTTAATCCATGATTTGTCAAACATCCATAAGGGTCTGGATAATGACCCAGAATGGATGGGATTGCACTGAGCCAAAACCAAATAAAAACATTGTGGTTTAATGTGATTTAGCCTATATTTATATGGCAGGAAAAAAAATATGGGGATATCAAATGCATCCCTGGATGTATTTCTACACACACAGAAGATCCAGCCTTCCCCAACCTGGTGTGCCTTTCAGAAGGGTAGCCTTGCTAGCTAGCAATTATGAAAGCTGAGGTTCATGCATCTGGAGGATATGAAAAGCTTCAACAACCTATCTCCCTTCAGGTTGAGCTCTAAGGGGATTTGTTCTGCTTTGAATCCTCAAGTTGGTATTGACTTAGTGACCACATAGATTTTTCTCCAGGAGGGCCTATCCCTAACCTGGTCTTTCAGGCCTTCCATGGGGTCCTCATCACCACTGTAACTGAGTCCATCCACTTTGCTGCTGGTTGTTCTCTACTTCTCTTTCCTTCCAATTATGGCTTATTATATATTATATATTATAATTATAGTTAAACCACCTCTTAGAACAAAGTGTAAATCAGACCAAATGTATAAATCAGGCCATATGCTTGGTTCACACATGGGTAGAGAAGATGATCTGTTTGCCCACACTTTCAGGTAGTGGGGAGAGAGGAAGTGTGGGCCATGCACCTTGGTTTTCCATCTAATATCCTTGGAAGCCACATCCCCTATTGCACATAAAGTAAGTGCATGTGAGAAGATGTTTTCTGTGCACACAGTTCCATGCCATATACTCACTGTCCTGACCTGAAGATTTGAACTCATCACCTACTGATCACCAAGTGTGGGAATTGCCCATGCCAAAGTAGGCTTGTTTTACAATAGAGTGGTTATAATAGTTCCCAGGACTACAAAATGTATTATTTCTGCCAA